GGAAGAGAGTGGATCTGGTCTTACAGAGTGGGACTCAATCTGAGTTGGTGTTGTGTCTTTTGCGAACGATTCGAACAAAAGAACCGAATCTTCTAAGTGAACGTACAGAACTGAATCGAACCGAAAAGTGAGAAACAGCATTGCCAGGCCAGCAGCCGGCAAACGAGGGACCACATGCACTGACGCCTGAATCACTTCATGAACGAATCACGCATTGAGCTACACTCTATGGAATCATTTTCGTCGGACAAAACTACCTTTTTTTTCCACTGCTAAATTACCACCACAACGATTTGCGTACAATAGGACACAGCATGTAACAAGTTGTGCACAAAACCTGCAGCATCCTATCACTGCAGCGGTTTGCGAGGGAACAGTGTATGCTCAGTTTGAATTCTTCTAAACCTTCAGTGAACGAATCTCTCACTGACCCCAATTTACCGAGCTGACCTGCTAAATAGCTTACCATAGGACAGTACACTTAAAACATCATGACTAATAAACAAGTTCATTTTTACAAACCTGTTTGTCAAAGCAACACAGCCGAACACTCTCGTCTCCAGAAGCTTTGAATTGAACTGAATCCTGAACCGTTCAGCTGTGTATCAGTTCAGGAGGTCGGAGTCGCAGGCTTCTCCCTAAATAATTCAGTGAACGAATCTTTTGAACGACTCTTTTTAGTGAACTGATTCTAGTGATTCAGTTCATGTAAAAGAACTGTGCCCATCACTAATCTGAGTCTGGGTCTTTGTAAATAGAGTGTTTTTATTGTTGTGGTATCGATCTCATCATGTTGTATGTTTGAGGAATTCATGTTTTTAATAGTTATCCAGCTTTACTGGACCGACTTTAACATATTACACCCAACCTGCTGATCCTGGAGCAGTTCCCTCTCTGCAGGGTCTCACCAAAGGAAGCAGCTGCAGGATTTAACGGCCGTGCAGCGGGTGAATTCAGACGTCTAAAGGATGCATTTCATTTGTGAAAGGATGGAGAACATCAAACGGGAGCACTGCGCACAGATGTGAAGTCTGTAGCAGGAAATTTAAAGCTCACTGGCAGGACCACAGCGTGTCCCACATGGCAGCACCACTGAGTCGCCATAGTGATCAGCTGTTTGTGTGCAACACGCCGAAACAAAGAGACGACACTGACAGCACAATGCTGAAATCCTCTTAGCTGCCCATGCTAATACATTTTGTATGCTTTTTGTGCTGGATTGTGTACTAACACGCCGTGAGGGTGTTTAATTAGTCCGACCGACAATTAGGAGACATTTAGTGGCTTCAGTCCTGAAAACAAAGAGGAGGAATAATCCAAATAAACTGCAGGGACTTTCCCTTCAGCTATACTGTGAGGAAATTAACAAACTTTAAACGCTCGTGTAGGGCTCTTTAGATGAAAAAGTTTGTATTCACTGAACGTTCTTTGGAAGAAAATCAAATCATGAAACCTTCGTGGTAACAAGTGTTTTTATTTTCAGTCCACTTTGAGTTTCTGAAAACACCGCCAAGGCTGGTTTTAAGAATGTGGATTGAAAAGCCATGAATAGTTTGTCTGGCAGACCTGTCTGAGGGATCAGCGCGAGATTTGTGTATTTACAGAAAATGATTTTGTAACAACAGCAGACCAAGGGTAAAGGAAAAGAGGACAAGTTATGAACAAAATAAGCAAAAATCTGTTTTCTGATATGACTAAAGAGGCTTTTGGACACTAGAATTAAACTAGAAAAGCACTCGGAGAGCACAGACCCCCGCCAAGAAGCTCATGTCCCCCCTTATATTGTGATTCACACCAAAACTTTTACTGTTATGTGTCTTTTATTAACTTTTATTTGTGTTTAAACTGGTATGTTCACTGTTCATAATGTTCCTAAAACAAGAAATGCCCTGAACTGGATTCAAACCCAGGACCTGGTTGTGAGGCAACAGTGCTAACCACTACACCACTGTGCCGCCCATTGGTTATCTTTCAGCATTGAAAATTCCAACGACACCCTTATTTTTGTGTGTTCTGGATCACAGTATCCAGAATTTTGTCCGGATCACCACCAAAATTTAATGGGACCTCTGGTGAAAATTTCAGGTCAATCTGTCTGTAACTTTCTCCGTAAAGTTGCTAACAGACAAACAAACCAATGCTCCTGAAAACATAACCTCCTTGGCGGAGGTAATTAGGGGGACAGGATTGAAAAGCATCACTATGCTACAGATTATTGCTAAGAACTATTTATGACTGATTAAGTTTAAAAATTTAAAGTGTTTTCACTCAATTTTTGCCTGTAGATGACCGTGAATAGTCTTTTCCCAACCATAAACAGCATCTTAAACATGTATAAAACCTTACCTTGCATATGAGACTTAACTTTTTAAAGAATGAGTCACACAAAAGTCCATATAACAAAAAATATTAATCCAACTTCGTGTTAAAAACCACATAAAATGTTGAAAATATCTTCAAATCTCATTACTGAATCAAATACTTGTATTTAACTTGCATTACACCAAACTGACACTAGAGGGTGATCGTTGCACACCTATAAACGACTGTGATGTGGCTCCAAAGTTTCCCAGTGAAGGAAAGACTTCAGATCCTGCTATATGTGCAACAGAAGTTTTCATTTCATTTTCATCGCTTAAAAAAGCAATGGCATTGGCGTCTCACTGACAGGACTGTGAATACAGGGGAAGTTAAAAGTGAATGTATTAGAGTAAAAAACTCTGCAATGAAATTTCACAAAAGTATCTACAGAAAAAGGCATTTCCACTGTGAGAGTGTAGACTATTGACTGGATGTGGTTTAATGCGGTCTATAATAGCAGCGTTCATGAAAAATGTTTGAGTTTGTTCTGCTTTTACAATCTTTTCATCTTTAACAATGCGTCCCACTTCAACGGTTATTCCGGCGTGTTGAATCGGTAAAGGAAGCAGATAAAACGGAGATACTTAACTGATGCAAAGGCACTTCAACACTGAATAAATCCAACCCTGGCTGTTCCTCTTAAAAGCTGCTGTAGTGGATAAACACCTTTAATAAGATGATAGTAGATTTTCTTTCTTATAAATGTTAAGATGATTTTTTAAACAATGCTGTAGAGACACATACATTTGAATTCAAGCCAATCAGAGACCTTTATGATTGGGGAAATGAGGCCAACATTGAAGTGCTGCAGTTCTGAGAGTGTCCACTGGGGGCAAGTTCTGAAAGACAAGAAGACCCCATTAACAAACATGTTAAAAAGTCCTTTAAAGAGGAAGAAGAGTGGAACATTTTTACAGACTGGAACAAAATGACCCATTTTTCATTTAAAATTTTTTTAGTATCGCATCAATTTTTAAAATACTGAATCTCTTAGTTTTAAGAAATAAGGCTTCATTAGGGGTGTGGCTGACTTGACCAATCAGCGGTTTGGTCATATAGCAGGTTGACAGGCTCAAGTCTACATTACAGCTTCCGCCAGATTGAACTAAAGTTAGGCTCGAAACTTGGGCTTGAAAACTTTGCTTCAGAGACAATTGGTGACATCCACGGACTGTAAAGAATCGAAAATGTAGTGAAATCACTGGTTGTTTTTCTAAGCAGGGGTGGTCGCCATATTAAAAAGGCTGACTCTTACTTTTCTGTACCTGGACAAAACATGTTTGGATTAAGGCTGCACCAAATTGGAAAAACTAACATAGGAATTTTCTTCAACTTTGCGATCTATATTGCGATATTAAAAAATACAGGAATTTTAACCAATTGACTTGAATAGCACTTAATGCTATGCTGCACTGCTGAAATCTTGTATATATTGTGCAGCCCTAGTTTAGATGGACTTGTTAGTATGATAATTTTGGAGCCAGTCCCCACTGGACACCAGAGGAAGTGCAGCTTGTTGTTATTCCACATTGGTTTCATCTCTCAAGACCAGAGGTTGCAGCTTGGTGTTGTCACTGGAGCTTTGCCAGTGTTGTATACTAAAATTCTGTCGCTAAATGTTTGGTTTGTGTTGATTTCGGTGCCCCCTGTGGACAAAAGTGGTACGCTTCTTTTTAAAAATCATTTTAGATGGTGTTTTGAAATCTAAAATCTCATCCTTCCTTCTTTTTTGAGCCAAGCTTTGCGATTCAAAATAGTCAGATAAGTCAAACTTTATTTAATAACTCCACGAGGCTACAGTAGCTGCAGTGCTCCGACAAGCCAAAAGGATTTTAAGTGCGCCTTATAGTGCCAACAATACGGTAAAGATGGCGGCTTTTGTAGCGAGCTGTTAAACCGCTCTGGTAATCAGTCCCATTGTTGATAGTCTTGTTTGCTTTTGCGGGTCAAAAAGGAAGCATCAGTATTAATTGCATCTCATTTTATTACCAGTTAAAAAACCTCTCACAGGAGCTTTGAATGGGAGAATAACCGGACTAATATTGTGGGTCGACAGATGGCCATAAACCGGAGAAATTGCATTTGAAATAAGAGAGAGGAATAGCTGTGATGTTTTCCATCTGTAGAGAAAATGTGCTGCTCTCTTATTTCATCATTAAAGCACCATTTAAGCCAGATTTCCCCCCCGTTCCTTCCTCAGACTCACTCGATGAATAGTATCATAAAAAAAAGTAAATATGTCGTCTCTAAAAGCCTGCCTGTCATGAAACACAAGGACTGTTTTTACTCATCTTTACAGCTGGGTTGATAAAAGCATAAAGCCTGTTAGGATCAATGTCAGGCTGGAGGGGTCTAATTAACTAACAAGACTCATCTTGCCCATAATGTGAAATCTGTTCAACAAGGTTTTATCTTTCATTTCAGGGTTATTTATGCTGAATAATCCACTCGGAGTGTGTGTGTGTTTGTGAAAGACTGGGTTTGGCCGCAACTCTTTCAGCGGCTCCATCAGTAAAAAATTGTTGGGTCTGCCGCGTGAAGGTCGTGTTTCAGCGAGTGTTCGGCTTCGAATGTGAATAAAGTTGGAAAATGAGACAGCCCTTCCTTCGCGTAGACGACACAAAACAGCTGAGTCATGGTTAAAGATTACCAGCTTTCTCTTTTATTGAAAAATATAGCTGTTATTTCAAAGGAAAGGAAAGACATGATGGTAAATATATTAATATACTGTAAAACCAGGGTAAGGATAAGGAGAGGAAGACAGTACATACCTAGCGTAAGACTACAGCCACTGAATATGGAAAAACAGGAGAAAACAGTCTACAGCCGAGTCGTAGTCCTTATCTTTTCTCGCCACTCGCTAAACCACATCTGTCAGGGACGTGGAAAGTTTTAAGCAGACCTGAGGCACAGAGTATTTGCAAATTCCTTTATATGGTTTATTCTGGCCTACTTAGGAGTTTCCCACAGAGGAACACAACACACGCCAGGAGCTTTGGACAATTACGAGAAGGTATTTCAGTGTTATTTAGTGTACTTGTCCGTTTACCGCTTACAGATTCCAGCAGAATTAACTCCAGATTGTTGGACTTGCAAATACAGTTTGGCCACAAATGCGCTCTTAGTGTTAAAGCCGCTAACATTCCTCTAATTCTCCTGCTGTAGTCACGTACACCGCTCAAAATAAAGATTGTTTGCTGTAATAATCAATGGCACAAGTCGTATTTACATTACAGGATCTTTAAAAAAAATGGAAGTGAAGGATTGCAGCTGCCCAAACAATCCACAAAACCAGGTTTCACAATTTCTCAATCAAAAGGAAAGACATCTTCAAATTTGGCCCTTTCACATCAGAAAAATGTACTTAAATCATACTGCAAATCTATACACAAGCAAAATAAACAAAAAATTAAACATCCTGTTATCATTTTATAACCCCTGTTTGAAAAAACTTGGGATGCTGGGTAAAATATAGACAGAATTTGATGGTTTGTAAATCAATTTATCTCCGTTTTGAACAAAATCGTGCAAAGGCAACATTTTCAACGTTTAATGGAAGTTTTAAAAAAAGTTGGAACAGAGTTGACAAACACTTGGAGACGCATTCCCCAATGATAATGTTGATTTGCAACAGGTTAGTGTTACAACTGGGTATAAAACGGGTATTTAAGAGAGGCTGAGTCTAGGACTGGGCGATTATATGATCGTGATAAATTTCAGTTCGATCACAGTGATCAGCTGTAAACATATTTACAATCAAACATACTGGAAGTGTGCGTCACAACAGCCAATCAGAGTCAAGCTTTTCCTGCTCACTTTTATAAGTTGCCAAAGAAGTAAACAGAATGACCGAACATGGAGCTAAACGCGGAGCTGAGGGCAGCAAAAATGATGTCAGCCGTGACTTTGAGTTATTCTGCGATGATTTTATTGTTCAGAAGTTATTCAACGTCTGTTCTGTGGTGGTGGTTTGAGTATCTCCAAAGTGACGTCGATCAATTAAACCGATGTGCAAGATATTTCGGAGATCGGTGCCCTAAAAAAACGGCAACACAACAAATCTGTTTAATCGTTTGAAGTTCTTCCCGAGTGATGATACGGAAAGCATGAAAATGTGGGCGGAGTCTGCACAGCCTGTTACTGCTGACGGCACAAGTAGCATTAGCAGTTTAGCTACAACTAGCGGCGCAGCTACCAGCATCAATCAATTATATCATCTACATTGAAATTATCTAATGTTTACATTTTAAGGCGTCTTTTTTATCTCTGAGGGGCGATTTGTTTACTTTGAGTCTTGCATACCTGCAGAAACACTCAGGACTGTAAACTAATTCACTGTATTATGTAATATTTATCTACATTTGTTGTTCTGTTGAGTTAAAATGTTTCTTATACTTTTCCAAGTATATTTTATTCAATTTGATTTGTTATTTACTTTGTATGTTAATAAAATGTTAAACTAATTTCTAGTTTCTTAAGTTTTAAGTAAAGATGCTTTAGAACAGGCAGTTAAAAAAATATCATGATAATAATCAAGATCGGACGATATGACAAAATATATCGTGATTTTTTTTTTTTTTTTGCCAAATCGCCCAGGCCTAGTTGAGTCTCAGAAGTTGAAAAATTTCTGCATTATTTTCCTCTGCGTAAAATCACAATGACATCAGGTTGGCTCTGTAGTAGAACTCACTGCATGGTTCAAGATCACAGTCTATCTCTGCATCCACAAATGCAGGTCAAAGTTTTTCACTTCCAACTACTGATTTGTTCCCGTTGCACGATTTTCTTTTTTAAACAAACCAACTCAAATATCTTACACAGCATCTCAGTTTTTTTAGATTTGGGGTTGTACTTGGCAAATTCCTCCAGATTGCTTTTATTTCATGTCTTCTCGCAACCTTTTCATAGAGACACTGTAAGTTTCAAAACTATACAAGAAACCCCAAAAAAGAGAAGAATGGCACAGCATCCTGATTCTGTATGTACACACCTGCATGGATGCCACAACAGGACATTTCAGATTCCCATTTGTTAAACGTGGCAATTAGTCGTCTAACACAAAATAAGAAAAAAAAGGTAAGACATTAATAGAAAGAGAGAACAGTATATCTCTTTATTGCGCCGTGGTAATAAGCGAAAGTAACCTGGAGGGGCCGACTGAGTGAGATTACAGCTGAACAGAAAAAAAAAGCCAAAGAGAAACGGCCCACCTGTCTGTCCCTGACCCTGCTGTTCCTGGAGCAGTTCCAGCTGGTCTGAGGCCAGTAATCCAGCATGTTTAATGAGTAGACTGGGAAAGGCCAGATGATTGCTTGATTTAATCATCTGTTTCTAGCGTGTGATTTGGCTTGTGTAGAGGAGATGAGTCTTATCACCTGTGGGGCCGGTTAAGGAAATGTCTGCCACTCTCAGCACACCTGATGCCCGTCTATGAAGTTCCTGCGCTTCAATAACACCCAGAACGAGTTTTTACATCCTTTCTCAGCCCTCAGGGACAAACCATAACTACTCATTTGGATTCCTCCAACAGTCCCATTCACACTCTTGCCTTTCTGCTGACCTGCTAATGCTACCAATCTCAGTAATGATGTGGAATGACCTAGAAACACACACACGATTCGCCACAATCACCACTTCTGCACCGTACAGGACACGGACCACATACAAAAGGCCTCTTTGTTTAACGATTCACATTTTTACAAACATAGGTCCTTGTTTCCTAATACAAGCTTTCCACAATAAAAGTGATTTTGAGTCTACTTGTGATTTAAGTGCCATGAAGCAAACGGATCGCAGAAGGAAGCTTGCTCCCTCCGTGGCGCCGTTAATAACTTTAAAGTCAAAAAGCAATACAGAGAAATCCCAAATCATAAAGTTTAAGACCTTGTAGTGCACGATAAGACTGATTCATCCCTCATTGTTATGAATGAATAAATACCACAGCTGTCTGTGTAGTCGAAGACCTTGCCGACGAGAGACAAAGAGACAAAATAATACGACGGAATAAACTACCAAACTGACGAAAACAAGCTCTACATCAGCAGACCAGCCTCAAAAAGTCATCAAAGAAATCATCACTTAGAGTAAAACATGGAAAAGTAAGAACTACTTTATCTATTTAGTGTTTGTGCCAAACATTGTCATTGGCGAACGATTTCCTTTCATTCATTTCCCTCTTTCTTTTACAGATTCTGAAATACAAACATCTACATCGAGCCTCCTCTTCACCTCACACATCACACAACAAATGTGATATTAATGTGGTGGACAGCTGGGGTTCGGATTCTCTGACCTTACCGGTCAATCTTTACTTCCCCAGATAGATGAGTGTGGTGCGGCTCATAACCAATGGCTTGCTGTTGTTGTTCCTTCTTCCTTTTTCCTGCACCTCAGAGAGAGAATAAAGGCTGAGGGAGCAGGTGCCAGTTTCATTAAAAAATGGGAAATTCCCGGGCGTTGCGAGTCCACAGTTTGAAGCTGCATAAATCTGCAACAATTAACAACCAAAAACCTGTCAGGAGTTCCACTCTGTGAGTAAGTCCTTCTGCAGTCTGCTCACATCTTCTTGCTACAGCACAGTGAGTAAGGCCTAATTGGTTTTATTCATGATGTTGAACAAGGTGTACAATGATTATACCAATCTACAAGGAGTGGTCCTGCCTCCTAATCGTTCCTATGCCTTTACCAGCTTGTGATAGCCTTCAAAAGTCTTGGACTGATATGAAAGTGGCACCAGTTTGGTCTACACTCGAATCTCATCCTCGTCCTCATCCATGAAGGTGAAATCTCTGTCGTCCTCCCCGCGCGGAGAGCTGTACTTCGCGCTGTCCGTGTCGCCGTCATGGAGGCTGTACTGAGGCTTGTCTTCGGTGACCGACCCCGAGCTGGACACGGAGTAGCTGTCCAGGTTGTGGTGGTTGTTCCTGGTTTGCAGCTCCGGGGTGTAGGGATCATCCATGGGCTTCTGCGGGTACATGCTGCGAGGTGGTCTGGCGGGCGCGCGCTCCTCCGCGTCGTCGTCGTCGATGTGGGGGATGTTGGACGGCGAGGCTCGTCCGTCGCTGCCTTTCCCTTCTTCGTAGCCGAGGTCATCCTCCTCCCAGCCTTTCTTCTCCATCACACTCAGAATATCTCCCAGCATGGACGGTCCCAAGTCGATGTGGAAGGACATCATGGACTCGGCGTGCTTCATACCGCCTCCTTTCGGCATGGATGGCGGCAAATCGGTAAGCTCGCCGAAATTGCGCTCGTCGAACTCTGTGTCCAAGGTCGCCATTGCTGCTGCGCCGTTCACGGGCTTAGTATCAATCTCCATCAACGTCTTCATGGGGCTTGATGAGACGCTCTTCGTAAGCTGTCCTCTGTTCATGTCATCGTTGAGGTACGGCAGGGATATGGCGTTTTTCACATAGTTGGATGACCCACCAGAGGGCGCCATCATGTTGTACTCGTACTTGTCCCCTCGATTTACCGACTGAGAGCGTTTGCTGCTCCTGAAGGTGCGAGACAACAGCCCCGGTTTGGGCCCGGGGGAGCTCTGCTTTGTTTCAGGCTCTCTGGGAGGCTCCCCTGATCGAGTGCTGAGAAATGAAGTGTCCCCGAACGCGTCTCCTCCACGACCAACATGCATCGTGTGGCGGAAGTCGCCCAACGGCGCGCTGATCATCTCTGCGGTCAGGTCAGCCCGTGACCGCCGCTTTGACTGGTTGGAGTTGTTCACCAGCTGCTTGAGGATAGGCATGATGGCAGTCTCTGATTTATAATCCACAAAGAGAACGGGAGAAATTTGTTCTGAAGGACTTTAAAGCAAGAGTTCCAGAAGTTGTCAAAACAAGTAGATTTCCAGGGGCTTAATGTGTGCAGACATTCTGGTCTTCAAGTGTTGGTTTCATCTTCAGCCTGTGAAGAAAAACAAAGACCATTAGAGCCACGTCATTGCTTACATAGCTCTTCACTTTTGCGTGGAAAGTTGCAATTAATAACACGCCATCGTAGTCAAAGAATTATGTAAATCACCGCTTTAAAAGCTTCTTCATCAATCGCTTCGTTCCCTCTGTTTTGATCGGCGCTGAGAATGGAAAGCTTCATTGCCAAGGCTTCAGAATGAGTCCTCACTTGAGTGGTTCTCACCAGAAAAGGCTTTTCTATCTGTAAGGGTGTTATATAATGGTGGAGAAAAGCTTTCTCATACTCAACTTCAACTCATTTACAACCCGTGCTAATAGCCCCGCTGAAGTTGACCCTGGCAAAGAAAGTTTCAATTCAAATGTTCCCGTGCTATTCTTCTGATACATTTTTTTTTAAAGCTCTCGCTGTCAGCTCTAATAGGTCGCTGTCACATTCAGTTTTTTCAAGTGGCTGCAGTGTCCGCTGTCACTGCTGTGCTTTAGTTCCCGTTTAGGCCCCTGACTGTTACATAACCAGCAAGACACAGGATACTGGGAGCCGGAGTAGTTCAAGCTGGCAGGAATATAAAGAAAGGGGAAGAAAAAGAAAGAAGAATGAAGTGGAACGACATTTCGTCGGCGTGGATCGACTTTCAGCAACAGCTCAGAAAGTCCAGACGTGCTACATTCTGTTCTTGCCCTCATATCATCTGGGGATTAAGTGTTTCCACTGCGAGCTCTTTGTCTGTCTCTCTTGTTTTCCAGCCTTGAAGACGACATTTGAGTATCTCAAACAGGACATCTTCCTCTCTCTCTTCCACTGCCTTGTTTTTCTACTCCTCACTCGATAAACATCAATTGGTAACTCCCAGTTTCGCGATCGGCAGGTTATCGACCGGAGGCGTTTTGTGTGAGGAAAGCGGCCCTCTCCTGATTTAACGTGGGTCACTTTGAGCCGGTACTTGCTCTGACTATCTACGGCTCAATAAGCTGATAATGCGGCTCATTTCAGACCCGAGTGTCCCCAAGTCACCGGCGACCCAAGATCTCAAATCAGAGCCCACTGAAAGAGAGGTTTTTAACACCCACTCCTGTGCTAGCTAGACTTCACCGAACCCGAGAGTTTCTGACATCAACAAGAGGCTCGATTGTTTCAGCCAGACAGCAATCCCCGTCATTCTCCGCGCCGGAGCCCACGCTGCCCGCCTGTATGCGTATCCCCTCTGTGAATGAATGGGGGCTTCCCTCAACAATATCGCAAAGCAACGTCATCCATGAAAACATTTGCATCACTAACAAGAACCCATTCAATCAGAAAGGCAACTGTAGCACTAGAGGGAACAAAGGAGGGGGTTGATAGATGAGACACTCCAGGGCTGTTTTTTTTGTTCCCCTTCTTTCCCAAAAGAGAGATCATCGCGAAAAGGGACTGAACTCTATCCAGTTTAAAGTGTTTATCTTCTGTATTCAACAGCTTAATTCAAGATATTTTCAACAGCTCTGGCACTGCTGATGGGGGAGATGCGCTCTGCCAGAAAAAAAGGAAGCCGAACAAAGACTGAACGCTTCAATAGAGCTGGTTTTTAAGCTTTATTGTCAAACACAATTCCGGTTCAAGTTCACATCCATACATGGAGGAACTCGAGAGGGTTTTACCGCTACAAAACCTGTTTAAAAGGCAACTGGATGCCAAATTATAAGATTATAGCGCAGAGCAAACAAACGCCAACAAAGTCCCTCTGAGCTGACTTAGTGGTGAGATAAACGCGCCGTGATCTAGCGTTAGCCGTTCACTTTATTACTCCTCGCCTTGTGTAGAAGCCAATTAGTATTTGCAGGATGAAAAGCCGCTGAATGTGCGACTGACCGCTCAAGACAGCTCATCAACTGATACGTTCCTCCCCGCCGCACATAGCTTTGTGTTTCTCTATGGCAACGTCAGAGCGGGGCACTGGCTACCGAGCGGGCTTCCTGTCCCTAAGCCGTCCGGAGACAGCAGAGAAAGATTTTATCCCCTACATGGAGAGATCAGCTCATTCAGATGGATTAACCCTTCCTGGTGGCCACATGCAGGGGCAAGAGGACAAACAGCACAATGCTTACAGCTGCAGGGGAACGCTTTTGAAGTGCGTAGACACTCCGAGACAGTCAGCCTCGGAATAAAATATGTCAGTGGGTGATCAAATATCAAAAGGTGCGAACTTCACACCTTAAAGTCATTCTAGGAAATGGCCCATTTTATGTCCTCTGGGGGCCCCTCGGTGTTTGATGAGGAACAGTTTCAACACCCCCCTCAGGGTCATCAAGACCCCATTACTGTGGGCATGACAAAAGATGAAGTATGACCTGCAGGCAGTCCTGTCACACTCACTTCTGGCCTTTCGGTGCTTTTAAGGAGATAAATCATGAGGAATGGCGGTGTCATATGAAGTCTACGGTTTCAGAATAACATCCCAGAGGCTCTTTGAAAAGATGTTAAAAGGTGTCTCGATGTCCTGCGTTCAGATTGTGGCCAGTTTGATGTTGAAGAGAGGGCATCTGTGCAGATGTTTTGCTCTACACCGTCACTTCATTCCTGTAGGATACTTTCCTCTTCTATAAACTTGAGTGTACTTCTAGATCACAGGGACACATGCTTTTGACTTGTCCCATGCATAAACTACAAAGAAACCATCATATACGTATGAATGGGGATAATGTAAAGTGAGTGGATGGTTATGCAAGAGAGAATCCCCTCAGGGTGGAGAGGACTTGATGCAAAGTAGGGATCTTGTTAAGCTTGACATCTATTTTCCTTAACTGAATATTTTAGTTAGGTGATGATATTTCTGTAAGCAACTCAATACAAGGTTGTGGTTTGCTGTTTTTTGTGTCTGTTTTCTTTAATTTGACGGATGTCTAATCTCATTTCAAAGTGTGTATTACCAGTTTGCTTGCTAGCTTCATCCCACAACTCATCTTCTTTACTCTGCATCAGGAATGTACCAGTCTGATATTGATATCGGATATCGGTCTGATATCAGCAAAAAAAGAGAATGTCGGATTATATCAGCCTGCATCCAAAATCTCCGATATCAGCGCTTTGATATTGATTCCACTCCAGCACCCCTTACTAGCAAAGTTGTCAAGCACAAATTTGAGTCAATATCGGTATCGGCCAATACTAAAGGCTACAATATCGGTATCATATCGGAAGTTAAAAGGTTGTATTCAGACACCTTCACTCTGCAGGTAACTGGTGAACCATTAGTCTCAAGTTTTTTTGCTCCTTAAATAAAATACAATAGTTTTAAAAATATTGTCGATGTTGTTGTTGCAGTGATCAGAAAGTAGCGTTATTGCTACATCATCAACAGGACAAAATTCCAACCTTTACAAAGATGCTATGATATGATTTGGGGGATCTGTTTGTCTCTGGTGTCGCCGTGACTATTCAGAGTTAATCCCCTGTTGGTGGAGTATTTAGTACAGCGAGGTGATTAATAAGAAAGTTGGGTAATAACCTCAAAAAACAGAAAAAAAACGATAAATGTTTTGAAAAATCTCCAACCTACTCCTAAATAAATAAGAGTAACAAAGTCCTTCACTGCTCCTTGTTTTGCTCACATGTCGTGCTGAAGTCACTCTTGTCTGTATGACCTGCACGACTCATACTCTAAATTCAGCTGGGGGCAAATTTCCATCTCAGCATTCTGTTTACAGGCTCACTGAGCAAAACAGACAAACTGGTTGATCTTAGCTGAGATATATCGACCGTTAAACGTCCTGAAAAAAAAAAAAGGACACTTGGAGCTGAGCGTGTTCATGTTGGAACACCAAACATGTCCAAAGAGATAATAGGTATGATCTTGTTTGCTCTAGATGAGAATCATCTCCTCAGTCACGGTGCCAGCCGGTGACGCTGCCTTTATGTAACCGAGCACTCAAAGTGCCACATGACTCCGGCTCAAACTGAGACAAGTGGCGACGGGGCCATGAATGATTAAGAGCATCTTATGTCGCTGGCAGGCTCTGATGCATGCAGCATGACATCATAACAGCCAGCCTGCTCATCAGAGTTCAGTCCCACTCTTGTAATCCCGAGGATCACAGGAGCCACACTGTCCTCAGCCATCCCCGGACACTCTCTCTCCCTCCAGCCGACCGACAGGGGAATATACCATCAACCAATCACAGCTCTGCTGCTGTCAACTTAGACCAACAGGCAAAGTTTCTGGTTTTATTTTTGACTGCTTTTGAATCTTTAATGGCAGAGTCAGAAAAGGGTCTAGTTTATAATTTATTCACAAGGAAGAGGCTTCCATGCAAGGAGTCAGGTAGAGGGTGATTATGAAAGTAATGTCTGGCATGCTATCTCAGATTTTACAGAGTAGAAAGAGAGGAATAAAATGATCTGTTTAAGCTTTGAAGTCTCACCTACTGTGTATCCCTACTATGTGGCCCTACAAAAATCACAAAAAAGCCTTCTTGGTGTTCTTGGAAGGAGTTTTATCAACTAACTCAAACATTAATTTTGTGACCCATGACAAACAGGACCGACAAGTTAGCGACCAGTAAAAGGTAAACACAGAGTTTGTTTGTGAATGTTCCCACATGAAGCGCTAATGGTGCCAATTAATGTCAACAGTTGTCTTTGACAAGTCCTCATTAGGTCCCTTGTTTACAAATAAAAACGGTTACAGGTGTAGTCCAATTCCATTTTGACGGTTATTTTTAAAGAACTTTGAAAAGTTTGCTTCCCACAACTCAACTTCTTTACCCTGCAGTCGGGATGTCCCAATATGATATTGAAATTGGTGAAATATCAGCCAAAAAACAAATATCAGATCTTATTGGCCTGCATCTAAAATCTCAGGTATACAAGCAGTCCATTCCAGACTCCACTCCAGCACTTCTAACTAGCAGCGCCTGGATCGAGCATGCAGAGCCCATGTAATCAAAACAACAGTGTGTACTAAGGTACTAACAGGGTAGCAAGACGTAGGAGTGATATCGGCTGTGTGGCAGTATTTTTCGTAAAAGACGTTACCGCTGAGGACAAGTCATTAGGTTCCTAGTTAACAAAACAAAATGGTTAGTCACATTCGATTCTGATGTTCATTTTTAAAGAACTTTGATAAGTTTGCTTCCCCGGTTCTGTTTTTATATTATCTTATGTCCAAAGTGCGGTGCAGCAACTCCTTACTGGCTGGTGGTCTGTGGCTCCTGCCATGTTGCCATAATTCGGTTGACTACCAAGATGTTAACAAGCGCAGATGATAGATAGTAGCAGGAGGTAGTTTGAGATAAAGTTGTTTACAGGCTGAGTCTGGTCAAACTGGCACAAAGAAGGAGGACAAGAAGCCCACTCTGCTATCATTAGCATTACATAAGCAACACTCAGCCGACCAGTTTGACATTGTTGATCCAAAGACTCTGTGATACTTTCTTTTCTAAAGGCTGATTCCTTGTGCAGATTCCCTCTGAAGAAAACAGCATTAACTTTGAATACTCAGTCTATGCATTTTGCATCAAACTCGCTATATTTATCTCTACATCATGTGCTGTTTTGAAGACACATGGTTCAACACAGAGAATCTTCACTGAGCAGTAAGAAAAACCTTGGCTCTCTTTAACCTTGAACTAGTCTCAGCCCCCTCCATTGTTCACCCCTATTGTCAGCAACATTGATATGCAAATGCATATATACGAGCTCGCCAACGCCATCTATGACATTGCTAATCAATTCATCAATAGAGCCGCATGAGAATGGAAAGTTCTGACAAAGAAGGTCGGTATACTTCATTTGCTGCTACTTCGTGAGGCCCGTAACCTTCAGACCCAACATCTGATTCCCACGGGGGGAGGAGGCCGAGCGTGTCAAAAAAATACTGAAATAACAAGATAGGAGCTGCTTGTCAATCAGACAACTCAGTGGGATGTGTATCATCTCTGGATTGATTTTCTTCTCTCTGTATGATGATTCAGAGGCGGCACAAAGTTCTTCACCCAGCTGTATAAGTACAAATACTCGCGCTGAAAAAAAAAATACTGTTGAAACTTCTTAGATGGAGTAAAAGTGAAAGAGTAAAGGATCAGCTGTGTACACGGAAAGAGCTCTCTGTAACATTATCTAAAAATGATCATGTATGTTGAATGTTAAATTACGATAAGAAACCATTAAAAGTCAAATGATATCAAATTCTTTACAAGGGCAACAAAACTACCAGTATTTTTTGTTATTTTTTGATTTTTAACCTGCAAACAGACCAAAATTTTTGATTCTGAAAAAATGGAAACAACATTAACGATTTTTTTTGGAAAAAAAATGAGCAGCAAATGTTAAATATTCACTCTTAATATGTGTGGTGGTGTTTGTAACTTTGAAGAATACATTTCATGTCTATAATTATTAATTTCTTCCACATTTATTCAATTTATGTCCCGATACAACTTTTTTACTTCTGATACGGTACAGATATTGTAGCCTTCAGTATTGGCCAATGCTGATTTTGATCCGATACTGGCACAAACTTGTGCAGGACAAGTTTTGCCGTTTGGCCGCAAAAAAAAAAAAAAAACAATGATTAAATACGTTTTTTCTTTTCATCTGTCCTCCCAGTATCTTATTTTGAAAGATCATCACTTCCGCCATCGCCTCACTTTGACTTGACTCTTGACGCTTGACTCTTCGGCATGTCATTTTCCTGCATCAGCAACACAAGCTAGCCCTCGCAAAAACGAGCCAGAAACAGAGTTCACTGGAGAGAGAAAGGGTTGATTCTGCATTATGGTGAGTCGTTAAAGTGTAATGAAAAGTGCCTAATATAAAATGTAATGTTGTATCCAGATTACATACTTTGTACACACTATGTTCTGATTAAGGTTATTCTATATGCTGGATCTGGGGGCTGCTAGCTAGAGGTGCCAGAGTGGAGTCTGAAATGGACTGCTTGTATCGAAGCGCTGATATAATCCGATATTTGTTTTTTGGCTGATATCGGACTGATATTCGGTATCAATATCCTATCAGGATGACCCTATCAATCACTGTGTGCAGTGATAAATCAGACGGTCATGGCCCCCCAAGATCATAAAAATATGAAAATCAAAACTGACTGATATCCTGCCACCTGCTCTGTTGCACAATATGCTGATTAAGCACTTTTGATATCTTGGGAGGTGATTCAACCGAACTCAACTCCGCAGAACAACACATACTCAGGTTAATCATGTGTTTGTACGTTTGCCATCATAATACAGAAATTTAAAGCCACCTTTCTGACAAAAACTGTTGTAAAAGGCTGAAAAAAAACAAAGAATTTATTATGAAAGATCATCAAACGTATGAAAAATGACAGAATTAGGAGCCTCATCAATTATGTATGAGTGCTTTTCTGCCTCACGCCACAGCTGGAGTGAGCTCATTAGCTAAACCTCCCTCTAACTCCAGTGTGTGTCTGTTTGCTTCAAAGTTCCCTCCAGTCCAACGTCTCCTTACTGACCTTGAGTCACCGCGTACAGACAAAAAAAAACAAGTACACAAACTCAACTCGCCTAGGATAACACACCAGGAGGGTGACTCAGCAGGAGGTCAGAGACTGGGGCTGATACAGCCGCACAGGATCGCATCTGACGTGATTACCAAACCTGATAGCGACACAGAACACCACGCAGTAAACCATCCCCGTTCTTCCACTCCACTGTATAAACCGGTATTTCCCGTCAGACTCCATATCTTGCCACACGACTCACAGGCTAACCCTGTGTGACAAACGGCAGAAATATCCTGATACGTGAGGGGGTAAAGCTTGAGGATAGGAACACGCCTGTTTCACGCAGATCTGTGAGACAGATCCAACGTATGTAAACACACCTGAAGCGCTCAGTATCTGTAACCGGAAACTGCAAAGGTCGCTCGAGCTCCTCCTCTTTTTCGACCTGCTGCTGCTGCCAAGAGGCAAATTAAGAAAACAAATGCTCTAAGAGACGAACAAAGAGCGAGATAAGCTTGTTGTATTTTTAGACCGAAACGCCTTTAAACATCCGCAGACTTCTACAGCTGTCACCAGCAGCTTTATTCAGCATTTAAGTCAGTAAAAATCAAACTATACTCACAGATTTGTTGTAAACATGCAGAATCTATGCTTGGATGTCTAGATTTTGAATATGCAAAGTGCTCCGGTCTTGTTTTGTGGAGCATTTACAGTCCAAGCAGTACAGAGTATTCATGTACATGCAGGTTCATTCAGAGGGTAGCGACATACTTCTGTCAATCTGTATTAATGTGACGATTATTTATTTATATCTGTGTGCAAAAGTCTACATCGGAGTAAAGGTAGGCGTCCATTTATCAGGAGTTAAATTTCCCCACTCTTCGAAATGCATCAGATTTAACAATTTAACCTTTAAACCTGGAAAAGCTTGTTTCTTTTTTAAAATCGGCAAAATGAGGCCGTTATTCCTGCAAATTTAAGACCCATTACCTGCAACTGGATCAGTTTGTTTTCTGGGCTTATACAGCTAAAGTTAACCAGAGTGAAAAAGACTCTGTACTGTTTACAGCGAAATTGAGCCCCCGGGTTATTTCTAAAAACTGAGACATTAACCATCGTTAGCACCCTTCGCAAATCGAGAATTCGCCCCTGAAAATGATGCTTGTTGAGAACTCCAGCCAGAGTGGAGATTTCAGAAAACACCGTTTGCACGTAAACAGAGAAAAACTGAGATTTGGGTAGCCAACGGCAGATTGTGCGCAGGAAAGAAGAAGTGTTGTTGTTGCTGCTGTGTGGGATTCTGATTGGCTAACATGGGCTTGAGTTTCTCGCTACACTGCCACCTAAAGGTTTGGCATGCTCTTGACAGCATATATACACAGGTTAGTGTAAACGAAAACTTTTCTGAAAACGTAGTGGTGTGCACGCAGTTTATTTTTGTAAATGGAGAGGGTGAAATATCCCTTTATAAAAATAGCCGGACACGTGTAAACGTAGTCTGAGACTCTCCAGAAACTGATGTGCATCATCCCTTCAGGGTGATACAAAAAACATTTTCCGAGACTTTTTTTCCCCTTTAGATGACAGCTAATGTGTTCTGGGATTGTTAAAAAACACACCTGGTGCTGATTTATCGCATTTCAAGGATGTAAGAGTTACAGAGGAGACTGTAAAACTGCAGATGCACGGGTCATGGTGCGACACCAAGCCCCTTCACGTCTGTGGGGATCGTTGGTGATGTGCCTGAACACGTAAACCTGACAAATCACTTCATCATTTTAGAAGTTCAACGAAGGGACGAGCAATTTTTTTTCTAATTTCATGACATTTCAAACTTGTTTCGACCGTATGGCGTCTTCTTACATCACAGTCTATCCTTTTAGCACTCCACGCCTCTGCCTCATACTCTCTCTCTCTCTCTCTCTCTCTCGCACACTCCCTCCCTGCTTCCCAGCATTGTGCCTGAGGCGCTCGTGTCTGCAATAAAAACATTCACACCACATAACAGCATGTGATAAGTTGTCTGTCTGGAAATATATGGAAAAAAGAAAAAAAAGATGTAGGATTGAAATCATTACATGGATCTGACTTGACGACTTCAGCACTGTGGGTCAGAGAGGCGGTGTGAAAATACAATCTCTCCACTGTGGGTGAAACACTCCTCAACAGAGCAATGGATACTGGATTTCTCTTCATGCAAAATCTCAATGTGGACCAAACAAATTTAAGCTGCTTGGAGTGGGTCTGTGGTACCGGAAGTTCGCCTGTTTATGAGACTGTATAAGTTTTATTCTCAGACTTTTCTGCAGCTGTCTGACAAACAGTATTGTAATAAAACTTTGTCTACGCCAAAGGGGGCCTCCTATGTAATACGTAAAGTTTTTGACCATGAGCCTTTGGGCGGCCGTCTGTGTTGAACTCTCGTTTTATTCCGTCTAAGTTGTGGCTGAAAGCTGAAAACAAACTCCTCCAGTTGGGGTTTCTCGGGGTCAAAATCTTAAAACTAGTTCAGAAAAAGCTCTGAAACATGTTTATTAGGCCTTCAGGGTTCACAGACTGGTTTTGCTGAGAAAAGGTTGAATGTTAACACAACCTTATTTCATTTTAATGAAACCTCCTCGGGGACTGTTGAAGTGACTTGATTAGCAGCATTTTTAGAGTCAATAGACGTGTCCTCACATGACACGCGGAGTTAAAATCAGCGCCCTACAGCGTTACAAAGTTTTGTTCTGGGTAGTGTGAGAAATTCCTGAAACAGCTCAATTAATTGAGTCTTATGTAAGAGGAAAGTCTATATCATGTAGGAGGCGGCCCTGTAAACATGGTCGCTGCAGGAGACTGACCGATGTACAAGTCCAATTTAAAATTAAGTTTGAAAACACATTAAGATGGTTTTCTAATCAGTAAACCTTATTATGTATCCATCTATTCTACTATGGACAAGATCTTTGACAAGCCAAGCAGTCCTCTACACAGCGGAGGTAGAAGAATGATCAAGTTTATATGGTTTAAGGCTGGGCGATAAACCAACGTCACTTTGCCCATATCGGTATATTCGGTGTCAAATAAATAAATAAATAAAAGTTGGTTTTGGATGTGTGTATGTAGGCTATGGTCTCATGTCCCTTTAAGATGATGTCCTATGTCAGAGACGTGACTCCACCCCATTCAGTCCGTAACAAAGAGGGAAAGACAGGTGAGGAGATGGAGGAAGGTTCAAAAGTTGTAGCGGCTGAAGTAGACGACATTAATTTGGGAGGGGGTGAGCAGCTTGTGGAGTAGTTATCGTCCATTTATCGTTATTGAGTACTGCTCAATGTATCGTGATATTGATTCGAGGCCAGATCACCCAGCCCTAGACTGAATTATCGACATCATCCATCCATCATCCGTGCTTGTTTACATCCGAGTAGTCATGCCTGAAGATCATGACTGTGCACTTTTTGTTTTCAACCATGTGACGATTTCTCCAGATTATTTAATAATCATCTGATTTAAAGATGATGAAATCTTCACATTTTTGGATTTTAACATCCAGGAACAAAAACTGCTGTGGTTCTGTGGATATGATAGGGTGACCATACGTCCTCTTTTACCCGGACATGTCCTCTTTTTTGGGGGGCTGTCCAGCCTTGTCTGGCCTCGTCTGGGGGAGTTTATAAAATCCTTCAATTGTCTGCTGTTTTGTATGGAAGTTTTGCGTTTGTGTTGCATGGACGTACTGAGTTAGAAGTGCATAAAAAACACTTGACCCAAACCGAAAAACTCTCAACTCCATGACTCCGCCCCCACATTGTCGGGTCCTCTTTTGGGGGATTCAGAATAAGGTCACCCTGCTATCTGTACTTTTTAAGCGAACTTTTTCATACCCAGAAAAGCAGCTAATCCTGCTGCATTTGAGGTATTTTTTGCAGCTTAATACATTTTCAGTGTTTTGTTGTTGTCCTTGTTCTACTTTTTTAAAAACCTGTTGCTAGCACCAAATTTAGCATCATATCTCTTATGAGTTGTCCTGATACTGTTACTCCTCATCGAACGATATCCAACACTGAGTTAGGCTTAGGAGAACAAACGTTAAACTTAAAGAAAGACTAAATATGCAACCGTTCAGACTTGAACTGAGTTGAGGTGTCCAAAAAAATGTTAAGTGCTTTTCTGCAGAAGATAAAACTCTCATCATGACCGTGTAAAACAAGTTCAAACAGTCATGGTTAAAGGAATATACCTACATCAGCAGGACTGCAGCCAAAGCAGTACAGACCGTCTGTATATGATGAGTGTGTAAACTGCACTGTATCAGCCTGCAGGGCCCCAATGCCGCACAGGCAGCAACAAAACCACAGGAGGATTAAGGCCAGCGTGTTTCTATGTGAGCAAATAAAACCAGCATGCCTGAGCCGGCCCTCTGGGCTGTGTGGCAGGCGCTCAGGAGGGCAAACACCACACCTTTATCCCGCCAAAAAACACGAGCAAACCGACCTCCTGCCACAGCAGCAGCTTCATCTGTCCGACTCCAAAATCAATCTCCTGTTGCTCCTGCCACATGTGTTGCACAAGCTCCAGGAGACCCAGTTACTCGAGTATTACGTGACTGGAAATCACTCCAATTCCAGATATCAGGAAGCAGAGGACGATTTTGCTGGTTTTCCGCCCGAGCTGGCCTCTTATTAAGCATCATACTTGGACAAAGTGCTCAATCAGCTGCTGGGTGGGCTGCCATGCTGTCCTCCAAAAAGAGAAGCTTGGCTTAAGACCAAACAGAAGAGATAACTGACATGTTTTCCTGATTAAAAAATAAGCTCAAACAAATCCCCAGAGGGTTTGTTTTGGGAGAAAAAAAGCCCCTCCTGTCCGTGTACGAATATTATCTTGAGTAAAGGAAACATTTCCCATGTGGAGCGACAATGCCGGAGGGGATTTCTCTCACAGAAAGGGACAGCACAGATGGAGGCGGTGAAGAGAAACCCGCCCTCAAAGACTCGATGGAGGGTGTCACCGCGTTGGATTCACTCTCGGTCATGCCAGCACAGCGACAGACGTTCTTTCACTGTGTCCTGCATGAAGTGTACCCAAGCCCTCATTACGCCCACAGTGGAGGGATTGTACTCTGCTCTGTGTGTGTGTCTGTGTGTGTGTGCACATGAGACTACATGTCTAATTAATCGCTGAAATCCGCCCCATCAGTCTCTGACAAATAGACAGCATTCACGTCTGCTAGCGAGAGCAGGAACTCAGCCAACTGGTTGAATTAAGCGTCCAATAGCTGCTGGATGACAAAACAAAGCCGGAGATGGCGCTCCAAAAGACGGAGAGTGGGAGAAAAGGATCCTCTCAAGCAGGGATGCTGATTTTGTACGGCTGGGATAGTTTACTGAGAATATTGGTGGCTGTTTTTCAAAGAGAAAAGGGGTCAGGAGTGCAGGCAATTTGCTCTAAACAAGACCTCTGAGATACGAGATGCGCCAAATCACCACCGAGATAAGTCTCTCCCGGTGTGACAATCTGCAGGCTCGACAAAAGCAGGCAACACACACACGGGCAAACTTTGTTCAAACCGGCAGGAGGCCTCTCAGTCTGATTAGAAGATAAGTGACCTTTTTCTGCGCTGTGTCAACTTCTCAGCAGCCGCCTGGCCTTTTTTTTTTTTTTTTATCAGCAGCCTCTCCACTGAAGTCAGACCCACAATCCGGCTATAAAGACCTCAAGCCTTCAATGACAAGACGAGCTAATAAAGCGCCATGGTGTTAACTTTAATGGCACCAACAAAAAGAGAGCGCACAAGCCGACAAACAAACAGAGCCGCTTTAACCCCCCGATAATGACGACAACCACAACAGCCGACGAGCCGCAGAACCTCAAAGCGGCTCAGAGATAAAGAGCGGAGCTGCAGCCCGCCTATAGCACATTGTTAATGTAATTGAATTGAGCTTTATTTATTTACCTCCACCCACTGTGATTTGGTAAGTGCCGTGTGTGTGAAGCAGACGTACTCCCTGTGTGAGTAAGTTCTCCTGAAGTGACTCTCAAGGAATGTCCAACCAAGCACACCGAGTTTGATCACATTTCAGCAGCTCAGCTCACTCATGCAGAGCTGATCAGCGTGCACGGAGTAATCTAATTTGGGCAGCTAAGTTTAAATCATTAAAGTCAAATAAGCTCTAAAGCAGGTTCAGACCAAAAGCAAAGCAAAGCTGAGGCACGCAGAACAACGGCAGAGAGAGACCGAGACTGTGCAGGAGACGTTTCCACGGCTGACGTGAAAATCCAGATGTGCAGAATTCATCTGAATTCACGCAACTTCAAAAACTGACTGAGAGTCGTCTGGTTTACATAGATCCACTAATATCTATTTTAACATTGAATTCACAACAGCGTAGTCTTGGTGCTCCTTTGTATGTGTTACAGCTTTGCATCTACACAGACGGCACAGCAGGTAAGCTAAGAGCCTGCAGGTTCTGACGGTGGCGCCATTTTGCCCCTTTAACTCCTTTGTTAATGCTGTCATTAATGCTGACTCAGCCGTCGAACAACTTTAAATAGAATACAAAAAATCACTACGATACAACAGGACACGATACGGTGCGATACGATACGACACAGTGTAATACGGTCAATACAATACAATACAGTACGATTAATATGATACAGTATATTAGGATACAATATAACACATTATGACATGATACGATAGGACACAACATGATTCGATACGATACAGTATGATACGATACAACACAATACAGTATGATACGATACAACACAATACAGTATGATACGATACAACACAATAAGACACAATATCACACAATACTGTACGACACAACATGATATGATACAGTGCAGCGCAGTGTGATATGATTTGATACAGTGTGGTGCGATAAGGTCAGTACAATGCGCCACGATGCAATAAGGTCAATATGATACAGTGCAACACGATACGGTAAGATGCAATACGGTACGATATGAAACAACACGGGACGATTAATATGATACAGTAGAAACAGCGATAACAGCACATCTAGGAGTGTCCTGATACAACTTCTTTAATTCCAATACGAAGCCGATATTGTAGCCTTTAGTAATTGCCGATCCCGATATTAACAGAAATTTGTGCATGACAAGTTTTCCACCCGTCTGTAACGTCTTTTTCGGACTTTAACGAAAAACACTGTCACACCGCCAACATCACCCCTACTTCTTGCTAATTTGTTAGTACCTTAGTAAATGTCATAATTACGTCACCTCTGCATGCTAGATCCGGGTGCTGCTGGATAGAAGTGCTGGAGTGGAGTCTGGAGTGGATTGTTCGTATCAGAGTGCTGATATTGCAGATTTTAGATGCAGGCCGATACAATCCAATATATATATTTTTTTTATCATGCCCAATAATTGGCCCATATAATCAGCTGACCTATTAATCTGTCTATCTCTAGTCTACACAATACTCTGTACTGTCCTCTTCGGGAAATATGTCTTGGACTCATGTGCAACCACACTCTGCATAATAAAGACAATACCTGCTGTTTATGAGGTAAAATATCAGAAAGTCTTATTTATTAGAAAGTAAGAAGTAACAGTAACAAGTTTTGTGTTTAATGCTAAACTTCTATACTAAACTTTAGTGAGAAAACTAAAGCCTCAGTTCTCGTCAGAAGAAGCTGCACAGAGTACAACATCGGGGCAGATGAAATAAAAACCTCAGTTAAGGATCATGTATCAAATGACTCCTGTAAAACATGTTGGCTGGATGATTAAAGTAAAAAAACAAGCGTGAAATCCCAGCAAACTTTCTGGAAACACCAGCTGGAGAGTCTTTGAAGTGTCAACGGTGAAATCTTACCGAACCATCCGTCTTTGATTTGACTTTCTCCGAGACAGCTTTGATGCCGGCGACGCGCTTCTTTGATTTGGCAGTAAAGCCAAAACTTTGTTCACCTTAAACCTCAGGGGTGAACAAAAGTGACCCGCTGAGTCTGTTTTCACATGGCTGCGAAAGTCCACTAACGGCCCCCGCGCTTAAACGGTTCAAAGGTCATCCCGGAGAGAGTCGGCCTCAGATGTCTGAGTCACAAACATGTGATTCAATAACAAACACACTCGACTTAACACGCCCTGTTGGCTTCTAAATGCCAGATAAAAATTTGTGTAACTGAGGAGCCCACAGTGTCGCACAAAGAACAAAAAACAAAGCAGGGCAGAGGAAGACAGGAACCAAACCCTGTGGCACACCCAAACCACTCACACGTACGTATAAAGAAAACAGATTAAATCTCAAACGCACACATAATATAGGTGACCTACATGATAACACCCTTTCAAACTCTGATTCCATTACAAAGGAACAACAGCTGCAGATACGTATCTCTCAGCATTCACAGCACTGCTGACCTGAAACGTCCTCAAACAGGAAGATGTGTGACTCTTCATTCACAAGGAAACCAGCAATCCTCGAAGGATTACCAGACCCACAATAGTCCATGTGACTCCTCCTGAACTGGTTTCCCGACATGAATTTGTCACATAGTGGACAGAGGGGTGATCGCGGCAGCCCCCCTCTCTTTGTCTTTCTAGTACACGCTTGGGAGAAAAACCACCTGTTTCTGTGAGCATACCAAGCAGGAAAACAATGAGGACTCACTGGACTGTAAACAGGCCAAAGCCTGGACTTGAATGACCAGCTGCACACCAGCAGGCCTGTGTTTTTATTCTATGACCCAAGCGTGGTCAACGTGAGCTGAAAAACCACAGATGTGATGTTGAAAACTAGTAAATGTGTCAGCGTCTGAGGACGGGAGAAGGAGACTTGATGCCGTCATATGAGGTTGATTATTCCCATTTCTATCAGTATTTTCAGTCTGGTACTGAACACAGCCGCATCACTATTGAAGGGATATTCCAGCATAAAATTAATTTAGGGTTAAACACACCATAACACCGAGTTAGACACCTCCTTGAACGACAAATGTTGCCAACCCCTTGCTTCTCTAGTTATACCAACCTGAGTAATGACCGCACGATAGCAATACACAGCGGTCTGAGGAGCCATAAACAAACCTCAATCAAAACACCACAAATAATGCTCAGAACAGCACCTAACTTCATCAACAGGACATATAGGGTTCCAGTCATAGTACTAGCCACCAAACATCTTTTTAACTTTGCCTAATTTCTTCAGCAAAGAGAATAATGTCTCTATCTGACCAGAACACCATCTATCAGTCACGTCACACCTGTTCTCCGCCAACTTCACTGGCTTTCCATCAAATACCGCTTGGACTACAAAATTCTGCTCCACACATTCAAGGCCATCCACAACCTCGCTCCTCCATACCTCTCTGAACTCCTCCACATCAACACTCCCACCCGGACTCTCAGGTCTGCCTCCTCCGCCAGCCTCATTATGCCTCCAGCCCGTCTGTCCACCCTGGGATCCAGAGCCTTCAGCCTTTGGAACCCCCTCCCCCCGACATTAGGAACATTGACTCACTCTCCATCTTCAAATCCCATCTCAAAATTATTTCAGACAGGCCTACTCAGAGTAACATCTGATGTTCTGCTGCAGAGTCCGGACTTACAACTTTTATTTAATACTTTGTTGTGTTGATGTGTTTTTTAATTGATTTTACTATTCTAGTGATGTGTCTTTTAGTTGCTCTGTAAAGTGTCCTTGAGTGCCCTGAAAGGCGCCCACAAATAAATTGTATTATTATTATTATTACTAAACATGACTCACCTACTCTCTTCCAGCAGCCACTTGTTTGTAGCGAGACCTCAGGCCAGTCCATTGCGGACTTCAGCGGGGTGACGCAGCTCAAGGAAGAACATTTATGATCATTACCATCACCTGATTGCCTTTCCATGAAGTTATGATGAAGTTAGGTGCTGTTCTGAGCATTATTTGTGACAACAGAGTGGTGTTTTGGTTGAGGTTGGTTTAAGTTGGTTTAAAGTTGGTTTAACTAGAGAAGCAAGCGGTCAGCAACATTCATTGTTCAAGGGGGTGTCTAACTCTGTGTTACACCGGAATATCCCTTTTAAAGCTGTGGCTGAGCGTGGGTTCTCCCCTCTTGCTCTGCTATAAATCTCCACTACTCTGATGTAAACAAGCACAGATGATGGATGGATGATTATGTCGATAACTCAGTCCTTATTCAGTCTTTGCCACATCGTAAACACAGGAGGATGTTTTAACCCCCTAACAGAGCTGCCATTGTCACTTCTACTCAGTATTTAACCTTTGACCTCTGATGGACGTTTACATTGTTTCCTACATGGTTTAGAGTCAACAGGGTTCAACTCCTCTGTGCAGATTTGCAAAGTGCTCAGATGTTCCTCTGCATCATTTTGCTATTAAGACCTAAAGATTTACGGGTTTTGACTAAATGATAATAAACTCTGATAAAAAACAAGAAGAGAAAAACACTCCACTTTTACAGGGACCTAAACAAAGTGCAGTTTACTCCCTTTGGGAACATCTGTATCTGGTTTTCAGTGGCTGTAAACAGAGCCTTTCCAAAGTCTGAAGAGATAACTGTTGATGTCATCAGGGTTATCACGGCTGGAACTTAAAGTCTTCAAAAATAAGGATATCTCAGTCTCTGCTGCACCATGTACAGCTTTTCTCTTTTTCATGCGTCTCTTTCAAGTTTAAACTTCACCGAAGTGCAAACAAAAAAGAAATCGCTGGAGTGCTTTAGCAGAAATCATCTGCAAAACTGCCTCTCAGCGCGCCTTAAAAGGCCCCCAGAATGTGCTACCTTGGAAATCCCTGAAGTGGGAGGAATAAGAAATGTTTTTTGGGAAAAAAAGGAGAGGCTGAATACTTGCGAGCCATTCAAAGTTTCTCTCCTTTAAGCCTTGCCTCACAAATAACTTAACCAGAGGAGGTGAGTAAAACTCCACCGAGGGAAATAAAAACTCTGATTTTCACGTTAAATCAGTGCGGCTGACTCCAGCCTGACGATGGGAACTCATTAGCTTGTCACAATCAAAGGTGTGGCTCTGTGCGGTAACAGGGCAGGACTCTGGGTGATGAGAGGTGGACAGGTGTGCCAGCTGATGATGGATGAGGTTCTTGCAACAACCACGTGAAACCAGAGAGGATGTCTGGAAACTTTAGCAATGTGAGAACACCCACCAAGAGGGACGCATTCAAGCTGCGGTGAAACTGTCTCCGACGCGATTATTATCAAAAACCGGTTTGACTGCTTCGAACAATGTGGTCCAGGACTCGAACAATAACAGTAATAAAACATACAGTATAACTTTTATAGCTAAATGTTACGCCGATGAACATGTTCAGGAGCGCGGGGAGCCCAACCTGTTTCCAAGAAGGACGCAATGTGACTGAAATTTGGAGTGTTAATACTTCGCATGAGTGAATACATCCTGTCGAACTGGTTATTTTCCTCCACGGTGACCAAAACAAGCGCTGATCTGAGCGATTGGGTGACAGGTGCTCGGCTGTTGTTGCGCAGAAGGAAAACAGAGAGTGGACCCCCTTCCTGGGAGCAGCAGTGATATATTGTTGTTGGATGGGATGGTAGAGGCCGCGTAGACTGGCTGTGTCAATATTGGGTAGGGTTTAGGGATCTCTCCATGTTTGGGGGTATTGGTCCAAAACAGCTGGCACATGATAAACTGCATTGCAAAACTGACTGTAATGAGGAGCTACAATCCATGAAAGTCCCTTTTTCAGACTTCAGGTCAAATCGAGTCTCTTGTTTCAGAGTTCAAAGTTAAACATACTCTGATAATAAGAAAGAAATCAGAGCCTGAAGACGTAGACGCCGCATTAGCTTTCATATCAAAGATTAACCAGAACATCCTCAGCGTGAATTCTCCTCCGAGTTCAAAGACCTCGCTGCTTTCTTTGCAGGCGAGGTCGATCCTGTAATTGTCTCAGACAAAACAGCGCTCGGCGGGGGAGTTCGGCGTAAGGCTCGACGCTTTCCAACATCAACAGATGGAAAAATGATAGATCAGTCATTTTTGGAGCGATACATCCTTCACACGTGTTTGAGTGTTCAAGAGTTTGGCAGCTTTGGGGCAAATTAAATATTAACTAATGTTCTGAATTTTAACAGCAGTCTGTCTGATTTCACTTAAAAAGATTTTGTTTTTAAAGTAAAACAAAAGAGCTTTTCTCCGGAGATGCACAGGCCGATAACGGGATGATTTTATCCTGGTTCATTATTACAATAATTAAGTTTTGTCTAATTAAACAACTGCCAAAGTTGCTTAAAACTGAGGACAATATGCCGATATTTTTAAGCTTGTTTTGGCTGATGTAAATATAAATGCCAATGAATGCCAAACGTTTTCTTTGTTAATGTAAATACGTCTTTTTTGCCAATAATTTCATCAGCAGAAACTTTTTGCACTGTAATCTGCTGATTCCGATATGATGCTGATATTGAGATCATGCCAATACCAATATTATACCGATATCAGGCCAATAACATCCTGCTTTCCTACGAACTAGACTCTCTATTATAGACTCTAGACTCCACAGACAGTGACTTAAATAATATTTTAAAATCCCACTGTGAGAAATTTTAGGCTTTTTTTATCTGAAAAATCATGTAAAGCTATTAAAGACAAAGAGCGACCAGAAAGGAAATAAAGAGTCTGAAAAAAATGCATAATACCCCTCTCTTGAAGTCAAAAAATGTGTGCCTGAACTACACAGAGAGGAAAAATAAAGTCCTGGAAATGTAACACAATAATTCTTATCAGAACGGTGTCTAGTCATCAAATATCTTAGCCAATAACATGTTTTGATCGTCTCCCTTCAGACATTTTTCTGCTGAGTCGAGATACTTAGATGACCTTGTTTGTGTAAAGTGCTCAGTATTACAGTTTTAAAAAAAGAGAGAAAACCTTAAAAGAGTCAGAAGTGCACCTTTTTTTTCTAGTGTTATAAAAAAGTGCATCTTTGCTCACCAAATCTCTGCCTCTCTTACGCTCAAATATGCCTAAACTGGACATTTGAGATTAAGAAATGTACAAAACACACATATATAAGTAAGTTTAACATGTTGTGAATCTCTACTTTTACTCTTAGTAAAGCGCATAACATGATATGCTATCTTTTGCCTTCAAAGTTCGTGCCTTACAGACGTATAAAAAACATGCTAATAATTCAGTAATTTCTCACTTTTCCTAACCTGAGAGACTCTCACTTTTGCAGAGTCGTGCTGAAGACCAAATGCCATGTTAGCCTCCCATAATTCCCCGCCGGCCTCCTATGCAGCCTGGGATAAAGGTGGGTGGATTACAGGGGCCACAAATAATTCACGTAGGCATTTCCTCAGGCATGGGAAGCAAGACGAATGTAAAACATACTGTAAGTTATCGCATCTGACTCCAGTTAACTCATTTGTGTTACCTCCCTCCATGTAAACAAAGCGTAAAGTTTATACTGCGTGCATTAAACCTTTATATTTGATCAGATCCAGACGCAAACAAATAAAACACTGACTCACTCGGAAATTAGTCGCCCTCAGCTTTAACAAACTGCATGTGAAAGTGCTTCAAGTTTGACTTTTTTCGCAAGTACAAAATGAGTCTAGCTGCCTTCCCCCCACCTCTCTCCCTCTCTCCCTCTCTCTCTCTCCTTCTCTCTGCCGCACGCCCTCTTCCCAGTATAAAACTGTAATGACCTCAGCGCAGTCAGAGTCGGGCAGGTAGCCAGCTTCCTCACTACGCAGCAGCAGAATCCTCCAGAGCGAACTGAAATAGCATGCGTCGCATAAAAACGGCACAGTCAGAGATGACACATTCGCATGCTCCCCCTCCCCTCTGACTCCGCAGCGCACAATAGATCTTGATGGAGAGATATCTGCCTGGCAGCCCCGCACAATAAGGAGAAAAGAGGCTCGAAGTAGGTGAAAAAGAAGCACTATTGTTCATGGCGATGATACGGAGAAGCTACAGAGCCCAGGCTGAGTTTGGCTCCAATCACTGCAGTCTGTCTCAAAGTGCAAGTTTCCGTTATTTCGTTCCAGATCGAGTCGTCGGGTAAATGATTCATCAAATGAAGTGACAAACAGTGACTGACCTTAGGGCTGTTGTCAGGGTGCGGTTGTGTGTTTATATATGTAGGCGTAGGGAGGGGGGTCATAGGTCAAACGTCATGCAAAGACAACACCAAAAGCCAAGCCCATCACTCAAAATGTCCTCCTACTTTTGTCCAGACTGGCGGTTTAACAAGACCAAAGGCTCAATCACTGAGGGGCATAATGAAACCGAACGAGCCTGCAGACTTTACGGTCAGTGTAGTTAAACTCAAGCACACACTTAGCCGCCTTCAATCAGAGCATGATGGATGAGGCCGGGCAGGTATACAGCAGAGTAAATTACCCAGTTCATCAGGCATGATGACCAAGAGAGGCAAGTGCCAGGTCTGTAAACACAAACAGGAACAACTCGCTAATGATCCAGGAAGGTGGTGGAGTCTGAGAGCGAGGGACGCAGAGGAGTGGCTGTGTGGTTCGTAAAGCTCCCGGTTGATTTGCAGAGATTTTTACAGTGTTTTGAGCCCTGGCAGCGACGCAGTATTAGTGTTATGTAACTTTCAGCGAAGAGAGCTGATGCTTCAATGCAACATCTGCCCCCTCTGATTAAACCGTATCCTGTCTTAGAGCTGAAAATAGTTATTTGGGACACTTTTTATAGACGCTGCAGCCTAGTTTTTACTGTGAACTAAAGCAGAACAACACTAAAAATAAACATTATCAGAAAACGAATTTATAAATCGCTTTACATAAAGGAAATGATTATTTTTGAGTTGTTATTAGTATTGCATAACAGTGGTACCAGAAATGTATTTTAAAACTAATTGGCAAACTAATTATATACAAGCTTACATGCACCAACGATGAGCTTCAAACAGGCAGTAAAGAAGCTGTTTGCAAACGCTGGTGAAGCACAGCTGATGTCAAGAGAGGAAAACACTCCCAATTCAATCATGCAGCTTAATAATCGTCATTATAACAAATACAAGAATTTATGCCAAAATGAGCCTGAAAATATCGGCATTTTAGGTTACAGCAAAAATCAAGCTGGTATTAATATCGGCCAAAATTAGTTTAAAGATACTGGCATGTCTGATATCAACAACTATCCAGCTAGTATCTGTATCGGCCAAAACAAGTTTGAAAATATCGGCATTTTATGGTAAAAGCAAAATTTCAACTGGCTAAAACCAGCCAAAATGAGTTTTAAGATATTGACGTCTGATTTCAGGAAACAAAGTGTAGCTGGTACTGGTAAGAGCTGAGATATCTAGAATCGAGCTAGTATCCGGATTGGCCAAAACAAGTTTGAAAATATCAGCATTATACGGTAACAGCAAATTTTCAGCTGGTATTAATATCGGCCAAAATTAGTTTAAGATATTGGCGTGTCTGATATTAGAAAAAATGTAGCTGGTATTGGTAACAGCTGAAATAAGCTAGGAGATATTGGCATGTCTGATATCAACAAGTATCTAGCTAGTATCTGTATCGGCCAAAACAAGTTTGAAGATATCGGCATTTTACAGTAAAAGCAAAATTTCAGCTGGTTAAAATTGACCAAAATGAGTTTCAAGATATTGACATGTCTGATATCAGATACAATGTAGCTGGTATTGGTAACAGCTGAAATGAGCTAGGATATATTGGCATATCTGTTATCAACAAGAATCTAGCTAGTATTGGTATCGGCCAAAAGAAGTCTGAAAATATCGGTTTCTGTCAATATGAGTTTGAATATTTTGGTATATGTAACATTGGGAGAGATCAAGCTTGTATTAGTATTAGCCAAACCAAGTTTGAAGATATTGGTATATGATATTGGCAAGAATCTGGTTTCAGTATCAGTCATAATGAATTTGAAAATATCAGCATGTTGGGCATCAGTAAAGTAGCTAAAGTGAGTTTGGAAATATTGGTAAAAATCAGGCTTGTATACCAACAGCCAAAAGGGAGTCAGATATCGGCAAATATCTTTCCTATTTTTCTATGTGATTCTGTATATCTGTGGGCCACTTTGGACTCTGTATGGAGATACCAAACAAGGCTGCTAAATTAAAACCACAGTCATTTTCTAATGAAGCGAACAGGGCTAACAAACACAACACAAAAGACTACTTGACAACCAACAAGAGCCTTGAATTCATACTGAAAGTGCCAACAGTTGAACTTTCAGACAGAGCCTGGAGCATTCAGATAAGATTTCCAAGAAAGACGCCAGTTAATGTAAGATAATTGGCAGTTTGGTGCCTGAAGAAAACCAGTTTGATGGAGATTATGAGTTGAAAAATAATAAGGCACCTATAATACAAACCTGAAACTGTATTGTTTTCAAGTATGCTACTGCACAATGCATTTTTTAATCATTATGTGCCGGCCTAATAAGTGTGGGGCTTGTTACTAACCAGTTTAATTACTCATTCCATTGGCTTATTATGGTTTGGCCTTGCCTCTAAACTCATAAGTACGCTATTTCATAATCAAACTCTACAAAGACGACTTCTTGTGAAATGAGCGCTCTGTGCCAACATGTCTTTAATTGGAAACATTAAAAAAAAAAAGTTTGAGGAGCTCTTAACAACTTTTTGGTCCCAGTCCAAACTGAACGCATGAGTTAAAACCATCCTCTCTTTTTAAATAATCAAAGAGGAAAGTTACGTCTGATCAAAAAGGTGTGAACCCACATGAAAACAAGCGAAGATTTCTCAAGTGTTTGGTATGGTGGCCGAGAACCGCCACTGCTGAAAATAAAAAAAAAAAATAAAAAAAAAAAGAAACCACAATAAAAGTTACTGATGCAAAAAAAAAAAAGAAACCAAAGCTTGCTGCAAATAAAAACAGAAACGGTGCAGATAAAAAAAAAAAAACAAAAAAAACAACGGAAGTTAATGACACGAAAAAAAGTGGTGATGCAAACAAACAAAAGCAAAAAAAGCCACAACGGAAGTGAGCTGCCGGGACCAATAATGATGATGCAAAGACGAGCAAAGAAGTTAGCGGAAAAGTTATTGTTTAATTTCGCTTCGTATACTTTTCAGCGGGTCATTTGGTTAGGCCATGTAGCGCCTGAATGGATATGAAGTTGAACTGGAGGATGCCGGTGTAGAGTTAGCTTCAGATCACGAAGTTTACGAATCAAAATTAAACTATAACTTTTCCACTAACTTCTTTACTCGTCTTTTTGCCATAATCTTCTGTGCCTAGATTGTAAAAAAGACGGTGCATCGTCATCATTGGTCCCCGGTAGCTCACTTCCGTTGTGGCTTTTTTTATTTGCATCCTTTCATTTTCGCAGTAAATAACTTTTTTTTCCATTGCCACTTTTTTTTTTCTGCACCGTTTTTTTTTTTTTTTTTGTTTGTTTGTTTTTTTATTTAGAGCAGTGGCAGTTCTTGGCCCCCACAGTTTGGAAACAAATGATCAACTTTATCACAGAACTTTTTTAATCCAGGGAGCAGCTCCTTCTCACTAAAATGTTGACTTTCCCTTTTATTTGTTCTGCCCTTTAGTTTCCAGACTCTCCCCCTGACTAATAGTGGACATATTGGGCGCCAGGGGACTCATTGCCAAGAGCTCGAGGAGACTGCCAAGCGCTGATTGTCCACGCGCAGATTTGACATTCAAATGAGATGCAGATTTCACACCGTTGGCTTTAACTTCAACCTACATCTGTTGTTTTCTGACCCCACTGAACACTCTGAAAACTAAATACAGGCAACAACCGAATAGTTTCAGCAACATTTAGTGTATGACAACAGGATATAAAAGCTGACTCAACTCTACGTTACCTTTAATTCAGAGTCCAAACGGTGAGGAAGTTTCTGGATATATTCCACTCAACTTTTCGAGGTCGTAAAAGTAACAAGAGGAGCTCCTGTGTTGTTGAAAATTCACTTGAGTTTCCTCCGCTGAGGAGTTGTGGCAGGACAGTCCCCGTGTTGGTGCTCCAATGTCCGTTTACTTTGCATCTGTGTGGCGCACAAAGCGTCCCTCCCCCTCCCGTCCGTTTCCCCTCCCCTCGTGCTCCGGAGAGCACCACCTCCTGCTGCGGTTTAAAGGGACAGAGACCCATTTAGCCACAGACACAAAACAAAAGGCAGAAGTTGGAGTTGGAGGGGATCCCAGGCTTGTCAGTTCAGGGGCTAATGGGGATGAAATAAGAGCTTCAAACGGTCCTGTTGAAAGTAAGCACCTCAAAAGAGAAGATGTTAAAACCGATTTAATGACTGTGTAAGTTAAAAACGAGGTTATAACAGGGAGAAAAGTACAACAGAGTATAGACGTTTTCTGTGCAATGTCATCGCAGGTCTGGGCGCACAGCCTTGGGACAGAAAGCGGGACATTTCTTATTTGTTTACTAGCAGAGTCACCTGAGAAAGAAAATGACAAGGAGCTGTTGTGCTGTAAACTGCATGAATCGGCAAAACAAACAATCGGCAAACATTACGACCCTGCTCCTGATATCAGAAACATCTAAAACAACGTCACAACCTGGTAAACTAAGTGAAATTCATGGATAAGTGTTTTTCAGATTTTGATGCAACGAAAGAAAAAAAATTAGACCTCGGAATTATTTACAAGAATAATGTCATAGTAAAATAATTACTTATGAGAAGAAAGTCATAATAAAATCATTATTTACAAAAATAAAGTTGTAATAGAATCATTATTTGCAAGAATAAAGTAATAATAAAATTATTACTTACACAAGGATTTAGTATATCCTTGTTTGTGAAACCTAGCTACTGAAGTTCAATTCATCTAAATGGTCCACAGCGCTCATTTAAACGACTAACAACAGGTTAGAATAGCTATTAGCTATGACTTTATCCTCGTAAGTAATGATTTAATCATGACTTAATTCTTGTAAGTAATTATTTAAGTACTATTTTATTCTCGTAAGTATTGATTTTATTACGACTTTATTCTCGTAAGAAATTACAAAGTCTTTTTTTTTTTTTTCATAATGTGGCCCTAATACTCCGTCGTAGAAAAGTATGAAGGTATTTTTGGTGCAAAAGGTTTGTGCATCTGTGACATGTAAGTTGTAGTTGTGTACAGTGATTGTATAGGTGTATCAGTAAATGTGAAATCACATACTCTATGAGTTGTGTACTTGTAGATTTTTTTGTCTATACAATCTACAACTACACAACTCCTGGAGTGTGTGATTTCACATTTACACATACACAATCACTGTACACAACTACAAGTTACATGTCACAGATGCACAAACCTTTTGCATCAAAAATACCTTCATAGAAAAGAGCTTTTACAAGTTTAACCTGTGTCCAAGGAGTCTAAATAAGTCTACAGTACTCCTCAAGCTCTCTTATTGACCCATTTGTCATTCTGAGTACTTGTCTCATGACTCTTGTGAGGTTGCCAGGCAACCACTGGAGAAACCAGGAAGTTCTGTGTCTGTGCATGAAGCAAACCTCCCTACATAAGCAAATAAGGCGACCACGTGAGAGGGAGAGACGGTGCACAGAGTATCAGCTGCAGTGATTTGGTCAAAGTGTGATACTGCTTTTATACAGTAGACCTACAACATGACACAAGCAACACACGTTTTCAAATAGAAATAAAAGCAATAGATAAGTATTATTTATTGACAGTTTTTCAGGACTTATTCAAGCCGAACATGTCCCTTCACACTCAGCTCTCTCTAAACCCTCAGCAGGCCAGCCACTTCCTGTAATCTGGGTTTACCTGTATGTTTCCAAACAGTGAATTAAGAGCCTGATTGTTACGTTGGTGGCCCATGTGAGTCCGAGGTCTGAGCCTGATCGATCTGGACAGTCTGCTGCGATGTTAATTCAGAACACCTGGCTGAGGCAGACTGATACACTGGTTGTGTCCCAAATCCGAACTCATTCCCTACCCCCTACTCCTCACGTAGTAAATGAGTCTGTCATCAAATCCCTCCAGATTTTCTTCTCTTATTTGAATCAGTTAGGAATTACATCATACAGAGTGCTAATGACACCCCTTCTGGCCACATTTTGAAATACATTCACCTTTGTTAGTTTGACTAGAACCACAACTACATCAAACTTTGTGAAGCTGGACTTAGATACCTACATGAAGTGGATGAGGATCTTTTGGGATGGGGATTTTTTTCTCCTCTTATGTGTATTACTCAAGTGGACTGAAACTGACTAAAACATTCTGCACATGCCCCAGTGTTCACACACCAGGCTTTGAACAGGAAGTTGGAAAGCATAAATGTGTTGCTAGGAAACCAGGTAATAAACAAAACATGGACAAAGACAACACTTCCTTAAAAGAGACTGATTTCATCATTCGTCATACATCCCATTCGCTACCTTCTGATGCATTGTACGTATTATTTTGGTTCGTAATAGGCTCAAGAGGACAACCTGATAGTAATAAGCTAAAAGGAGGGATGTCGTCATGTACTGTAGCAGATGCAAATATGCTTCTGTCAATAATTAAACTCTTGCTTGGCGCCTGTAAACTGGGACAAAAACAGTAGTCCAGTTAAACCTTATCGACTGTAGCTGGACTAGACTGTGTATATAAATGTATTAAGTGATGTTTTTGTCTATTTCAGCATTCAAAGAATCAGATTATTTGGTTGATTATAAGTAAGTGTTAAATTCATGACTGTATAAGTCATGGAGTAGCACCAGAGACGTCACAGATTGGTTCCTGAAGTGGAGTTTTGAGGCCCATATTGGAAATGCTGACTCAGTCTAACTTTTGGTCAACCTATTTTGAGGTTGCCTCCTCACTAACAGCTACATTGTGGCAGCCATACTTTTAATTCACCAAATTCAAAACTTAAGAGTCATTTTAAAAAATTAACCTATTGTACAATGACCAAAATAACTTCATACCTGGCTGTAAACTTGTTAATTTTAGCTGTAAAGATGACCTTCCTTAAATGTATGTGTTTTTGGTGCTTTTAGAACCAGCCCCTAGTGGACTCTTGAGGAACTGCAGTTAACCCTTCAACAATGGTTTTATGTTGACGGATGCCACTGTAAAAAGTTCTGATTGGTGACACTGGCCATTAAGCTTCATGTTGACCCTACAAGCACAAGAAACACAAAAGTGCTCCTCCCAAAAAAAGTTAAAATCTTCCTTTTTTTTTGTTGAACTTGTAACTATAGTCAGAAAAAAATGGTAAACTGTCAATTTAAATAGTCTTGCTGCATTTGTTAGACCTCCTAGATGGATTTCTAGACTAGCAATAATGAGCATGTGTGCTTTAATGTAATGTAAACTCATAATATTTCTGTCTTGGACTCAAAATATTACAAAATCACCACATCCCTCCACGAATATAGACAAGAAAACAGAAATTAAAATGGCGCTATAAAGGCATATTGAAGCCCACATTCTGATTCTGGTGAATTTATTCAAAATATCCAACAAATAGCAGAAATGTGCCATCTGAGCATTAGCAGAGTCCATAAAATCCAGCAATAATTAATGCTCCACTCGCTTGTGATTTGTGGCATTTGGGCAAATGTACTGCAGAGCAGTCATTAGTATGATTAAAGGTCCAGACGCAGTGATTTATAATTGAACTAATTCATATTATCAAAAGGGGTTATTATAGTGGACCCAGCGCCCTTTAGTCCAATTATTTCTGACAACTTCCAGATGACATAAAAATGGCCTTTAATCTACACACACAAAGCGAAATGACAACCTTTGATGCGAAACTCACTCGGGTCATGTATGAATGAGTGTGCACAATAGTCATCTGGCAATCAGGTGTGAACTTTAACTTTTGTTGAAACCAATGACGCCCACCTTCCTCTGTCGCCCACAGGTGAATATCATGAGATCTTTTATTATTTCGTGGCGGACCAATTAGTGGTGAGTTTTACAGGCAGCCTCGTTTGGGTCCTATAGAGCTCCAGTGAGGGTTTGCAGAGACACAAAACTTTGATGGTGCATTACCCCGAAGCGGGCCCCTCATTCAATTATTGCCTCCTCGTGTGGCTTTGTGTTATATAACCGATACTGCCTAGAAAGGCTACAGAGAGAAACTGGGACATGAGGGACTCTTTATGGCTGGTGGTCAACTTGATAATCCTGGAGGGATAAAAATAATTGTTTCCAAATATGACTTTATGGAACTATTTCAGCAATTTGTGTCGTACCATCACATTGCCTGAGAGAGAGGATCTTGTTTAAACTCTGACTTTGGAAACTTGTTTCTGCAAGTAAAGCGAGAGCGAGGCTGTTTTCCCCATAATGCACATTAAGCCAGGAACAGATTTAAGCATCCGCCAAATGCCACATTAGAAAGACATTCCCCATCCCATTTTTCAAATTAGTATCCCTCCTCCAACTGCCACTATATCCCCCTTCAAACCCCCAAACCACCCTCAGTGAAGCTCACAAATGAGGCAATTAAATTCAGGGATTCGTCCTCCTTTGAACCGCACCTTCTGTCTGAATCCTTTAATATCCCAACTGTGGGGTTCTCAAAGCTCATCAGGGCCATTTAGTACCTCTGGGCTCCTTTTTTAAACAGGGACCACCAGCTCACTCTTTGCTGTCACTCGTTTCCTGAGGGAGAGAGAAAGACTGAGACGCGGGGAAATGAACATTTTACCGAGTGAAATACCTCCTGTCTGTGATTCTTTTGTCAAAGAGAAATTTCCCATGTGTTTCCAAAAAAAGAGATTAGCGCTTCGGTCATGCTCGCTCCAATTCCCACTTCTGTTCCATCTCATCTAATCTCCTCTTTTCTCATGCCAACGTGTTTAGTAGGTTAGCCCTGGATCAAGTTGACTCTGATCCAATTAGCATCCAACACCATCTGACACTGTCCACATCCTCCCACCTTACAAATATACATAAGTTCAGTAACTTTGGATATTCCAGCACGTCTTTTATGCCTTGAATTATAATAAGTACCACTTTATGAGAGGGTGCCACGATTTAAAGGGCCAACCGAGCCTGTTTAGTCGACCAAGGAATAAATGCT